CCTCCAATAAAGGAGCCAATACTACTCACTGCACTTCCTTTGGCTGGATACCTTGAACAGGCCAGTTTTTGCTTTTCTATTTTAAAACATGATTTTGCAATGTATAGTATATCCCACGCAGTTTATTTCATTTTTAATGCAGTATGAGTCTTACATTTATTAATGGGATTATATTAAATTGAAAATTGTGTACTTACAATTGAGAGGAATTTTTTAAAAGCTTTAAAATAATAGATATTTGTAGCTTTAATGGAAAAAACGCAAGTAAGACCATCAGAGGGGAATAATAAACTGCAATATTATAGGATGGATTTTCTGACTCTCTTGTTTATCCTTGTAAGATTAAATTTTGCTTTGATTTTTAACACCAGGATAGACACAAGCCTATCTGGAATCATTTAAGGATAGTTGGTTACATTTTGAGACACAAATATGAAATAACAAATGATTCATGGTCACTTCCCTCCCTATTTTATACTATTTGTTATCTTCTACAATTCACCAACTTAGATATCATCCTATATTGTTAGATTTGCATGACAACAGGATCAGACTTTGAATATATTTTTGCCCTAGATTTCTGTAATGGTCTTCTAAAACTCTTTTCTTTCTTTAGGGAGTAGCAACTTCTCTAGTAAAAGCTCTGAATGAAGTAGGCTGCTTAAAGCCAAAGTTTCCATTCCTAAGCGTAAAAAAAACTGCTCTGCTGTTTGTCGCCTGCCATTTAAAAGGTAGCGTATAAAATAATATGCTATAAAAATAATGCATTATATAAATGCAGTAAATAATCTGATACAACATTGATAACCAATTTGTGTAGTTTTCTCATGTCCAGCTTGGGAAAATACTATTATATACTGATTTAAATACATACTGCCAAGTTTCTTGGAAATGTGTAAGGACCAGGGAGGAAAATGTGGTTAACAGGATAGGTAGATAGGTTAAGTGATCTCTCACAAATCATGAGACTTTAATGACATTTTATCACCAACAGCCTGATGGCCTTGAAAACATTTCTAATATGCATTGTTGGAGTTTCTAATCAGAAAGTAAAATGTTATAATCTAGGTGGTACTACATTTTAAACTAGTCATAGACAACCTGAATTGTCTTAAAAATTGACTAAAATTACTGTAATAAAAGGCTGCTGAAATACTATCTGAGGAATGGCTTAGGTGCCTGAATGCTTGCCTTTTTTCAACTGTATCAGGTGGCCAAATAAAACTTAGTAACAAACCTTGCCTTGAGATAACCCGAAGGCAGCTTTCTGATCATACAGATCTCCAACACCACACCAGCGAAATGTGTAAATGAGAGGCCTAATTGTATTGAAAAACAGCTTAAGTGCACATAGAACACCTGTCACTGTCAAAAAAGCCCTTCTTTTGCATGGGCTCAGTACCGATACACTAAGTTACACGGTACAAAAGAATAGATATCCATGCAGATTTAATTAGATTTTTAAGTTTGTAGCAGAATGAAATGTTATTTATCAGTCTGCTTATTTGTGAAATTATCTGGGAAGATCTGAGTATTAATGTGATTCGGAGTATCGGTATGTTGATTAACGTCTTTTTTTTATTTAATCGACAGTCCAATCGACCACCTTACTTTTCCATAACCAAGATAAACAGTCCAAAATTAAAATTAGGTGGTTTGTACTCAGCCCACAAAATAATGATAAAGTAAAACATCTCATGGAGCTACCAGAGGTTAGGACTACCCCTTCACCGGGAAGGTTGCCCAAGCTTTGTCTCCTGTGTTCATATTTGCTATTTTTTAGAATTTTTGTTTGGTTGTTGTTTTGCAGTCCAAGATAGCAGTTGCAGCTAATAATCTTTAATAGTTTGCAATCAGGCTAAATAGTGCCAGCTTTCAGGATTTCAATGGCCTAGTTTGCAGCTCTGCTGTAGCTTCGGTCTGGCTTCCAGTGCTGCTGGAGATTTCTGGAGCAAGGCTGCCCACCTTTCATAAGCCAACCTGTTCAGTGGGTGAACTTTACCTTGCCTTTTGTTATTTCGAATTTTTACTTATTCTTTTAGATAATGGCAAATCTTCATTATTTGTCTGAAGTTCTTCACATCCTGTGTTTCCTCGTGCAGTTTCCAGAGTCCTCCAGAAGTTTCTTGGACTATCACAGATTTTTGCTGGCATAGCTTTGTTAAGGAAGACCACTGAACAGTGTCGGCACACGATAAGCCCCTGTATAAACGTACAGTTCTTAAGCCAGCAAAACTGCTTTTGTACTGCAGTTTGTTTCATCCACAAAGGCTGTTTTCATGCTATTGCTAGCACAGCTTTGCTAACATTAACGATGTCCACGCTAGGAATGCTTTGCTCATATATTGCATCATTAAATCATTATCAGCACTGGATGATGAAATGGAAAGGTTATGCAAGTGCACAAATCTCTTCTCCTCATGCAGTGACAAACAGTTTGACAATAGGAATCCAGGAAAACAAGTTATCTTCTTCTAGTGCTGGGCAGAACTGCTTCCAACTTTAAGATGCAGCATTCCAGTACACGGAAAAATCTCCTTTGCAAATACAGCATTATTTATTATCGCGTGTCTCTTCAGGGTAGTCACGCCGTCCTTGATCAAAAACTTGATCAAAGTGCTTCACGTTGCGGTCCCTTACAAATTTTTTATGTCCTCTTTCTATCTGAAGTAAGACCTTCTCATCCTCAACTTATGTCACTCTCCAATCTCACATTTAAATAGGGGACAAGAAACAGTGGTTTAGTTGCTCCTGAAGCTTTTCTAACAATACTGGATTGCTGTCAGTATCCGAGAAGAGAAGGTACAGGCGATCAATCATAAACGCAGAGAGATTTACTCCTGGAAAAAAAGAGTAGGAAACCATACATCACTAGAGAGATTTAGTGCCCTTCAAACTTGACTCCTGCAAGAGCTCTACGTACAGCTGTGCTTGAAAAATCACTCAGAAGCTGCTACATGCAGCTGTCTACAATTTACAGCTAGCGGGCTGAAGCATCTCATAGCATAGTTCTTCATGCTGTCCGGTTTTTGCAATGAGATATAAAGTACCATTTACAGCAAAAAAATGGTTTTGATTTGGCTGTCTTAAATCACCCCTTCCCCTTTGCCTCAGCATAACAATTAAAATAATAAAGAATACTCTGAGGATTGGCACTCAAAACTGATGTATGCCAAAACACGGCTTAGGGCAGAGAGGCAAGAAAGAAACGAAACAATACTGTCTTCATCGTAAAGTTCTTGGCCTTGACGTTTCCTTCCTCCTCTGAAGTACCAGTCAGCTCTTGTTTTTTTATGGGCAAAGCATTTAGGTCATAGAACAACCGTGCCAAGGTCGCAGCGGCCCAGTGCCAGCCACGCTGCGCCTGGGCTATCCCTGTGCAGCGCCATTTCAGGGTACGTACCCGATACCCAAATCTGTCATTGCCTCGAGTACCACCAGCCCCTCGCGGCCCGAGGAATGGGGAGGCGATGGCAGCTGAGCATATGGTTGTTACCTGTTTACAAAAGCCTTGATCCTTCTGAGTATCATCACCCTTTTGGAGCTAGGAACTTGTGAAATACCAGACTTGATTTTTCTGTCAGTTTGGCGCCAACAGGCACGGCCCACGGCAGCTTTACCTGTACCACGGATAAAAACATCGGGCGTAGACTTGATCGCTTTTAAAACTTCTGTAATGCGATTCCACGAAGTTAACAGGGGACACTAAGTCACCGCTTAACTTCTTGCAGCGCACAACCCCAGGAGCCCGGAGCCGGCGCGGCAGACGTACCGGAGGAAGCTGGCGCGGTTCGTGGAGCACTGCCAGCTCGTCCCCTACCTGGGGGCAGCCATGGCCGGCCCGTACAGGGAGCCGCGGCGCAGGCCCCCCGGCTTTGACCGCAGGCTGCGAACTTTTCTTTCCCTGAAAGACGCCAGCCACGCTTTTGTGTAGCGTGGGCTGCGCCCCCCCCCCCCCCCCCAACACCCACTGCCGCTCTGAGCTTGCCAGCCACCTCAGGGTGCCGACGTCTTGCCCTTCCTCGC